TACCCACCCACCTACCAACCTACCTACCTACCGTCCCGGCAGACTCAAAAATCACCCTACTACCGGTACCGGTACCACCCTACCCTACACTGTTTGTGTGCCACGGCCACGGCCACGGCTAGAAGGAAGCTCGCAAGCGTTACGTAGAAGCACTACCGTACGCACGTACTACTAGGAACCAGCCGCTGAGCAGCACGGTATCTTCTTCCCCGCTGAGCTAGAGGACGGGGCCAGACAGGCATGATGGTTGAGGACTGAGAGCGGTTCTTTGGGCAGCTGCTGGTCTACGGTACTTGACCGGTACTAGAAGTAGGTACAGTGTAGGTACTACTGTACTAGAATGCTACCTACGTACTGCGGGGAGTGCGGGCTGGCTGGCTGTCTGTCTGGCTGTCTGTCTGGCTGTCTGGCTACTTATTACCGGTCGGTACCTTCCCTCGAGCATCACATCCACCACCCACCCAATGAGAAGAAGATGGCTCGCTCGCTCGCTCGACAGGTCTAGCGCCGATACTTAGAAGTGCAAGCTTGATCCACCACCACCACCACCACCACCACCGCTCACGCACGCCGACGCCCACCGCATGCCATCAGACCAGGTGTAGGTACCGGTACCGGTACCGGTAGGTACACCGCAGCCGACCCTGCAATCGTCTCACCACTCACCACAATACGTACAGTACCGGTAGGTACGTCGTAGATGCAGTGGTACGCCCCCTTCCCCTCTCGAAACCCCTCTACCCGTCGTCCTCCGGATCGCTTTCAGCCCGCACAGCAGAAGAAGAAGAAGAAGAAGAAGAAGCGGTCGGGCAGCTCCCGCTACTTAGAAGGCCGGGGGATGCGTACGAGACGGGTAGGGGGGGGACGGCGGTTAGAACTAGCTAGGTATATACATACTTACCTACCTACCTAGTGAGAGCGGTGGCGATGGACGATGTGAGCTCGGCGAGTGAGTGAGTGAGTGAGTGGCATTAAGGCATCGATCGAGATGCTGGCGCGGGAAAGGGTGGACGAGAGAGTGTTTCTACTCTACTGTACTGTACCAATATGGCGTGGCGTGGCGTGGCGTGGCGTGGCGTGGCGTGGGGGCCCTCCATCGTGGAGTCTAGTCGCGTGCGTGAAGCTGCTGAGAGAATAGAATCTCTAGCTACCTAGGGAGTTAAAGGTTGCGCGGTGTACAACGCCGGTAGGTAGTGTTGCGTTGCTGCGTTGCTTGCTTGCATCGGTAGCTGCACAAGCGGTTTGTTTACTGACGAATCGGGGCCGGTTGCGGTTTCTCGGCCGGGCCCCCTCCAGAGCGAGAAGGCACTCCAGCACCAGCACCGGTACCGTACCGTACCGCGTCGGACTGACACCAAGATCCAGAATTGGATACCTAGTACCTAGTACCTAGTACCTAGTACCTAGTACATACTACTAGGTAGTAGATTCCGAGCAGCCAAGATCCGCGACTTCGCTCGTCGGGCTACCCGCGAAGTACTATCAGAAAGGGCTCGGAGGGCTACAGTACAGTAGAAATAGCGATCCCGACTCTCTCTCTCTCTCTCTCTCCGGGAAGGCTGCGTGGAACAAAAGGTGCCTTGGTGTTGATGTACTAGTACTAAGTAGTACGTAGTAACTCTATTACCGGTATCCAAGAACAATTCTATCCCTCCCCACCCCATGAATAAATACATGTCGGACAGAGTTTAGCTCCGGAAATCGCAGAGCGGTGAATTTCTGAATGGGCTCGAAAAGCCCTCCCTGTCAAGTACCGGTAAGTCCATTGCACAGACGAGATAGGTACAGTAGGTAGTACCGGCTCGAAGATACGTACTTTTGCACGGCCGAGTGAATCCTTGAGCCGTAAGTACCTACTGTACGTAGTACTGTACAGGTTGATCGGTTTAGAAGTACGTAGTACGTACGTAGTACGTAGTAAGAGCTGGTAAGACCCCTTGTCAGATTATACTTTCGACATGTACAGTACTACTAGTAGTAATTCATAGGGGGGGGGGAGAGTATACGGGAGAGTACGGTAGGTAGGTGTACCTATTCTGATGTTTCAACGTTTCGCGCAACTACTATACAGTACTTCCGAGTACGACTGCAGCTCTGCACCCCCAAGGTTCGTTGAGGTTTGTTTAATAGATTCCAACGAGTCTGAAACGAGACGGAGGCTTTTCTGGGCCCGGAACAGCTGGGATGAGCGGGCATTGGAAGTTTTTTTTCGCTGCGTTACGGTAGGTATACCCCTCCTCGCACACGCTCGGGCAGCTGAGCTGATCTTGCAATGCTATGTTAATCCGTGGTAGCAGAACAGTGTCGAAGAGATGTTGAGCAGAGGCTGTGAAGGCGGTCCAGCACAGCACCGACAGCGCGGGGGACTCGTGCCACCAAACATGTGCCCTTGGAGAGCACATGTCATCCATCCAACGCGTTGACGTCCCGTGGGATTGGGGTTGGTGTCAGTGTCAGTGTCAGTGTTGGTGTCAGTGTCAGTACAGCCAAGATCAGACGGTGCCCAAAGAGAAAGAAATGCACTTGTAGAGACGGTACCACCTCGGTGGATATGATGCACACATGCAAGCAAGCGCGCACGCACGCCTGCAGTCTGCCGTGCGTGCATATCGACTTCCTCTCTCGCGAATATCGAGTTTCTCGCGAGAGACTTTCTCGAGAGTTTTCCGAGAGTTTCTCGAGAGTTTCCCGAAAAGGAAGAGAAAAAAAAAACAATTGAGGACCGAAAGTTCGGAAGACGGCTTGCAGGATTGCACAAGTTCCTCCTGCGGCCGCCTCTATTCGGGACCGAGGAAGGCGTTTCGCTAGACAAGGCTGGCAGGCCGAAAGGCCGACAGGCCGATAGACAGACAGACAGACAGCGTGCGCACCGGCCGCACAGCTGAAAACGCCCGTGCTGTTGTGTGGGTGTTCAAGGTTTTGCGCCGGCACCGGTACCGGTGGGCTGTCGGTCAACGTGATATCCGTGTGCTTGGGACGAACTACCAAACCGCATTTGGTGCAGTCGAGTCGTAGTTAGACTGCCCACGGGAGAGGAGCGCTGAGATACCGGTACGGTACAGCATCGCTGAGTCACACCACACATACGTAGGACCTCTTGGAGTAAGAATAGCTTGGTTGCGATCTGATTTTCGCCCAGGGCCGAGGTGATACCGGTACAAGTTTGGACCTCCGTCGGGCAGGGCATTCCCGCGTCGTGTGCTTTTGACATTCAGCCCTCTTTCAGCCCACACGCCAGCAGATGGTCTATGCGTTTGATACGAGGCAAAGAGAAACATGTCGAATGTCTGTCTGACTTTCCGGCTCGTCCTTTAGGCTTTGTTTGGCCTTGTGCGATGGGATTGTTTCCGCAGACGCATTTGCTCGTCAGCATCGTAGACGGAACCGTAACAGATATGCTCTTGTACTCTCTTGTCGAGGCGTGGACTCGGGCCTGGATGCGGGTCGGAGGTGAAAGAGGTGGGCGCCATCGGGACGTGGGTGGGTGTCAGCCTTCTTTGTGTCACCGGGCGATGCTGATACACATTTTGATTTCTTTGATAAGTAGTAGTTATTGGATCATGATCAGCGTGGCTGGTTTGGGAAGAGATAAGAACGGCAATCGTCCGATACCTGTATCTGTACAGAGTATATACAGAGTATAGTTGTACTACCTATGTTCGGCTGTCTTGCGCCGCGTCGGCGTGCGTCTTGCAACATCATCAAGACTGTGGCCCTGGTGATGAAGAGAGCTTCCGATACAGTATAGGTGTTCAGTAACTAGGATGCGACATCTCGCGCTCTACGCCGTCAGCCACATTCTGAGCCCAGCTTCCACGGTATAAAGTCTGTCCGGTTGCGGTATACCTTGCCTGAGATAGACAAGGAGGTTGTATACCGTATACCGATATAGTAGTAGTACGGAGGGACTCGACATCTTGTATAGCGTCAAACTATAGCTCCTGTACATTATATAGTTTCCGTCGTCCCGACTCTGGAACCAGAGCCTGTGGAATGTAACGCCGACCGGGGATCAAGTTTGGTCTGCCAAGGTTGGTCTGCTTCTAGAAGTGCGGAGCAGGTAGGGGGAGGGTCCGTCTACTACGTATGTACGTAGTAGTATACCTCTGTCCTCAGGCCTGGGAAACAGTGTCGAGGCGATTGGGGAGATGGGGATTGGGCATTGGAGATTGGGCATTGGGCATTGGGCATTGGAGATGGATATGCACTTATCTAAAACGAGTAGGTGTAAATTGTAATGGTACCGGCACTGTTGAATAGCACAAAGTACGGTAGGTATACCGGTACCGCATGCTTCGACCCGTCTCTCAATCAGGCCCTTACCCCCGTTGAGCCCTTATCGTAGGGGGGGGGCAAGGGGGGGGTGGATCTGGTGAGCCGGGATGGTCATGCTGATTGGTGCACAAAGCTCTTATCCGACCATCGTGGGACTAGAACGGTGGGACCATGGGACCATTGTGGGGCCGTCCCGCCGTCGCAAAGCACCAACTTCCCACTTCCCCTTCACAAGGCCTTGTCCGGAAGTACGCACTGTACCTACCTACCTACTGCGGGGCTCGTCTGATTGGCCAGAAATCTCGGGGCCCAAGACTCAAGAACAGCCGAATTCGTACTGAGAATATTCTTGTGTGCCGCTCGACAATAAAGTCTCCCCTTCTTATTTCTTTCATCCCCCCCCCCTCTCGTCGTTGCTGCGGACCGACTGACTTCTCCCCCTCGGTTCTGTGTTTCCCTTCCTTGGGTATTTCTCTCTTCTTTCGACAAGAGGCCACCCACCCACCAACTTCCCTTTCAGCCTTTCCCCCCGCTTGCGACCTCCACGTCTACGACACACGATCACGATCACGATCACGACCACGATAAGCGGCAACGCTAAAACAGCCATCGCAGAGTTCAGGGAATCTCCATTTCTACCACTACAGCCCAACCGACCCGGTAACACTTAATACCATCCCAACACCCGACCTCGAACATCGAGCTGCGCTCCATCAGTCGTTACCATGGCCGTCGAGTACAATGGCACTCTCGCGACGGGAGGTGACTCGCTGACCGAGGATCTCAACATCTACTATGAGGTGAGTCTCCCCTCCCCCGACTGCATCTCGGGCCTCGACCCTTTTCCGTGGCATCGAGCTGACACTCCAGCAGGCCGGTGACATCGCTTGGATGATCACCGCCACCGCCCTCGTCCTTCTCATGATTCCAGGAGTCGGGTAGGTCTTCAGATGAACCAATTGGTCACTCCGACAGATGCTGATCCTCCTGCTCCCAGATTCTTCTACTCGGGTCTTGCCCGCAGAAAGTCCGCCCTCTCCCTCATCTGGCTCTCGGTCATGGCCGCAGCCGTGGTCTCCTTCCAATGGTTCTTCTGGGGCTACTCGCTCGCCTTCTCCCACACCGCCGGCAAATACATTGGGGATCTGGAGAACATTGGTTTCCGCAACGTGCTGGGAGCTCCGTCGATTGGTTCGAGCAAGATTCCAGATCTCATGTTTGCTGTCTACCAGGGCATGTTTGCCGCGATCACCGTTGCTCTTGCTGTTGGCGCCGTAGCTGAGCGAGGCCGCCTGCTTCCCACTGTCGTACGTGTACCCCACGCACCAATTCTTCCCGACTTCGACAGCTGACCAGTTTCCCAGGTGTTCATGTTCGTTTGGACAACCGTCATATACGATCCAATTGCCTGCTGGACCTGGAACTCTTCGGGATGGGTCTTCAAGATGGGTGGTCTCGATTTCGCCGGAGGCACCCCGGTACACATCTCCTCTGGAGCCGCCGCGCTCGCTTACTCGATCATGTTGGGCAAGCGCCGTGGCCACGGCACCCACGAGCTGAACTACCGCCCGCATAACGTGACACACATTGTCATCGGGACCGTTTTCCTGTGGGTGGGTTGGTTCGGATTCAACGCGGGTTCCGCGCTCGCCGCCAACCTCCGAGCCGTCATGGCTGCCGTTGTTACCAACCTGGCTGCCTGCGTCGGAGGGATCACCTGGTGTGTCCTTGATTACCGCCTCGAGCGCAAGTGGTCCACCGTCGGCTTCTGCTCCGGTGTCATCGCGGGTCTCGTTGCCGTCACCCCCGGTTCCGGGTTTGTCCCCGCTTGGGCTGCTATCGTCTACGGTGTCGTCGGAGCCGCAGGAGCCAACGTATGTGATAACGAGCCTCCCATCCCAAACACAAGCTAGAACCCAGCTGACACTGTACAGTACGCCACCAAGCTCAAATTCGTCCTCGGAATCGACGATGCACTCGACATCTTCGCCGAGCACGCCGTCGGCGGCTTTATCGGCAACATGCTCACTGCCTTCTTTGCTGCCGACTACATAGCCCATCTCGACGGCTTCTCCGAGATCGATGGCGGCTGGATCAACAAGCACTGGGTCCAGCTCGGTTACCAAGTCGCCGACTCGGTCTCCGGACTTGCATACTCCTTCTTCGGAACCTGCATTATTCTCTTCGTGATGAACCTCATCCCTGGCCTGTCCCTGCGCGCTTCGGAGGAGGCTGAGATTCTCGGTATCGACGATGCGGAGATTGGCGAGTTCGCGTACGACTACGTTGAGTTGACCCGCGAGGTCCTGAACGACGTCGATGATTCGGCTAGCAAGTACTCTCACTCGAATCTTCGCCACGACGGCGTTGAGAAGCCGATCTCGTCTTCCGAAGACCGCCGTGATACCATTGAGCAAATTTAACCTCTTATGCTTGCTGTACGGGGTGCTCGGCTCGATTTAGCCTGGTGCTCTTTCCAGATTTCTCGTGTACTCAGCGAACTGCGCGTGCGAGCGTCTTTTTTCTTCTTTGTTTTGTTTATCTTAGTACACCCTTTTCCCCTCTGGATACCAGACCAGGCTACCGATCGATCCTCTACCGCGAAATGTAAAGATACGTCTTGGCGCAACGGGTTGACTTGAGCTCTCCCCCCCATTGGTGACGTGTAACGTTTGTAAATAGGGCCACGATGGGCAGGATGGGAATATGCTTGCTGGGTTGATGATGGGACCGGGGATGGGGAAGGTGATCGGAAATCGGTAGCCTACTTTCTTTCTCTCTCTCATGACCCAAAGCTGAGCCGGCGGGTAGCAGATAGTAATAGGACGAACAAACTTTTTCAAAACAAACCTCTCGGGAAAAGAAGTACAATCGCACTGTGTGTGCATTCCGGGTGACTCGTCCTTGAAGAAAGAAAGTCAGACATCGAAGGAAGATGATCCTCGCTCCCGCCCGTCCCATCACTGCGTCGCGTCTTCTCCCTCGGCATGTACATGAATCAGAAGGCGCGCCCCGCTTGCTTCGGCTCGGCTCGACTCGGCTGCGCTCGGCTCTCGGTTCGGTCTGACCCGCCTCGGTTGGATTTGTTTACGTCACTTTCTACTGTACTCTCTCGTCCTACGTAAGGTCTGAGTGGGCTAGGTACGCCCATGAACGTAGGAGCTTTCGGCTAGCTGGCTAGTTGGCTAGATGGCTGGTATTACGGGTGCTACGGGTGCTACGGGTGCTAGGCTATCATCAGGGAACGAACACACGGGCGCGTTTTGCTTTTCTTGGGTGGTAAGGTTGTGGGTGGATGGGGAGGTGGGGAGGTGTGTGTGTGTGGGTGTGTATGTATGTATGCCATGTATGTATATGGCGGGAGGCTTTTGGATGGGGGATTGGTTGAGTTGATG